AGGAATTGAACTCAGGACCTTATGCTTGCCAGGTAGGTGCTTGTGCCACTGAGCTATATCCCCAGCCCTTCTTTTGGAAATAGGGTCTTGCTGAGTCACTAAGTTGCCCAGGCTGGGCCCGAATTCCCAGCTGCCCTGCTCAGCCTCCGGGTGCTGGGGCTACAGGCCTGTGTCACGGGGTCAGCTTCTATGTGTAAATACTTTTGCAAATGGATTTCCCAACACTCTGCTAAGTTCTCACAAGATGCATGTCCAGCCGTTCTACTCTCCAGGAGCAATGCTTTTATTTCTTGTAATGTGCAAATCACGGATGCAGCTTGCGCTTTTTTTATGGCTTGCTCCGAAACTTTTGAAGTAATGATATCAATCTTGGAGGTATAATCACAAGCAATACAAATGGAAAAATGTTAAAATCCATGAACAGCAGTGCAGAATGCCCTGCTGCCCTAGCGCCCCTCTGCTCTGGCTCCCCCCCCCCCGTGCCCAGTCCACATCCTCCAGTCCATGCCCCCCACGCTGCCCGAGCCCCCCACGCTGCCCGAGCCCCTCACCGGCCGCCAGCACCGGCACACGGAGCTCTTGCTTCTCTCTGGGTCCGTCCCAGATCTGCTCCTTGCGCCAGCCACGGCTTCTCTCCTGGACGCGTATGTAGTGTTCCCATCGGCTCGAGGAAATGACCGTCTGTTCTGAGGACCAGCTCAACATGGCCACCAGCACCCTCTTGCATCTCTGCTGCGTCCCGGAACGGCCCACCCTGGGCGCCGGAGCCCTGGACAGTGGCCGTCACTGTCTCCCCGCTGCAGCCTTGACATCCGACCGGACCGACAGGCCAGGCGGGAGGAAGCCAGGGAATTCCTGGGCCAGAGGAGGGCGCGTGCAGAGGCCGCAGGTGACGGCTGTGACAGCACAGCCAGACGCACGGCTGCTCGGGACTCAGTCAGGGTCCCCCAAGTTCCCAGGGTGTCCCCCCTGCCCTCCGTGGCATGGACGGAATGGTCTTCTTTGCCGTGGTCATGCTCTTGCCCGGCAGATGCAGGAAGCGATGGCCCCACGTGCTCCTTGGCGAGCACCCCTCTGCCCTGTTCCATGGAAGGCCGAGTTGCCCACACCCCCTTGTCCATACCAAGGAGCAGGACACGTGGCCTACAGCCCAGGGTTAGCGCTGAGCCGCAGTCGGCAAAGGTCCCCACAAACCCACAGCTGCCCGGAGCCTGGCTGACTGGATTCTGCCTCTGCCACAGGCCGGCCCAAAGCGTTAACTCCAAGCAAAGGAGAACAGGCCTGTCTTGTTGTTGTTGCTGCTGCTGCTGTTGTTGTCTTGAGACAGGGTCTGGCTATATAGCCCACGCTGGCTTTGAGCTCCCAACAATCCTCCCGCCTCAGCCTCCTGAGTGCTGGGTTACAAGTATGTACCACCACACCTGACAAAAGCCTGCCTGGACACATCTTTTTTTTTTTTTTTTTTTTTGTCTTTCTGAGACAGGGTCTCACTATGCAATTCAGGTTGTCCTTGAGCTCACTCAGTAGCTCAGGCTGGTCTTGAACTCGCAACCATCCTCCTGCCTCAGCCTCTCAAATGCTGGGATTACAGACGTGTGCCACCGCGCCCAGCCTGGACA